GGCTCCTCCTTGCTGGCCAGAGTGAGAGGGAGAAAAGGGGGGAGGCCACAGATGTCAGTGTGTCTGCCCTGCCCCCACTTCTGTACCCCATCTCCACATAGAGAAGCGGATGGAGGGAGCTTGGCAATGCAAATCTCTGTCACTCTCACATGCTGTGTGTGTGTCCCTCATTCTCACAAAGACCAGCTGTCCTTCACTTTCAGCTCCTGACCTAACACATACCTGGGTGGTTGAAAGGGGGGAGGCCACAGATGTCAGTGTGTCTGCCCTGCCCCCACTTCTGTACCCCATCTCCACATAGAGAAGCGGATGGAGGGAGCTTGGCAATGCAAATCTCTGTCACTCTCACATGCTGTGTGTGTGTCCCTCATTCTCACAAAGACCAGCTGTCCTTCACTTTCAGCTCCTGACCTAACACATACCTGGGTGGTTGTCACTTCTTTTACAGCTTGCAAAGTGTGTTATGTTTGGGTTTTTTTTTTTAAACTGGTCTGTGCATTTAATGATTTTAATTTCTCTCTTACACTTAAATTTCTTTGAATAGTGAGTTCTCAATTGCCTAGCCTGTCCTGGCTGGAGTAACGATCCCTTTGGAGATTGCTGCTCCTGGAAGTGGCTGGCATCTCCCTGCAGCCCCTGAGAAAGGCAGAGCAGAGGAGACTGCAGACACTACTCCTGCAGCTCCCATTGATCAGTAAAGGAGAACCATGGTCAGTAGAAGCTGTGGGCTCAGTGCCTATAGATGAGGAGTAGCATGTGGTGCCAGGAGCTATTGCTGTACATGCCAGCTGCTTTCAGGAGTAATTCAGGGCCAGGGCAGAAGTAAGCCTGCCTTAACTCCACTGTTCTGTCACCCAAGAGCTGTCTCTGTTAAACAGTGCCCAGCCAGAGCCTGCTTCCTGAATCCCCCTCCTGCCCCAGACGTGAGACCCCCTTGCGCTCAAACTCCTTCCCACAGCTTGTACCCTGAAGCCCTTCCTGGACCCCAGTCCTCCACTCTGGGCTAAGCCCAGAGCCCCTCCCACACTCCAAACCTCTTAGCCCAAGATCAGAGCCTACACCAGCCTGGTGAAAGTGAGCCAGGATGGGGGAGGAAGGGTGATGGAATGAGCAGGGTGAGGGGCGGGAAGGAAGTGGGGCAAGGGTTTTTGGGTTTGAGGTAGATCTTACGTTGCTCTTAAATTGAAAAAGTGATCCTTTGGTTAAAAAGGTTGGAGACCACTTGTGTAGTGGGTATCTGGCCAGGTGGGAAGTGGAGCAGAGCTGGGCACGGTGGGAGAGGGTTGTGTCAATGATAGGGAGTGGCTCTAACTCTATCTTCTAACCATATTTGCACTTGGTGCTGCCTACTTCCCCGCATGGCTGTGGTTGTGCTCCCACCCCATGTCCATTAACCCTTGCTCTATCGGGTGTGGCCTGCAGCACACTGGAGACTGAATGCTATTGAGAGCAATTGTGGTGATAGCAGAAATGCTGTTGCTACATGGAAGTTACTAGTGAGGTAGTATGTTGCTTTGTTGTCAACTAGCCTCTTGGGTTAGTTGGCACAGAGCTGGGCATGGCTTGCTTGCTGCACACTCACAGCTCCCTATGTACGTACTGTCTTATCAGCACCGATTCATAGAAATGAAGGGCTGAAAAGGGTCCTTGAGAGGTCATCCAGTCCAGCCCTCTGTGCTGAGGTAGGACCAGATCCATCGCTTGGTAGGGGGCATGCCCTGCCTCACCTCTTCTACCCCTTCTGTACAGCTGCCCTGCCCCACTCTAACTCTTCCCCCAGCCTCCACCCCCGTTCCATCTCCACACAGCAGTGAAGGAGATGGGCAGTGAAGTGAAGCAGACTGCTGGGTTGTTCTGGCTTCCACCACCACAGTGAGTGCGTGGAGTGGGGCTGACGCCTGCTGCTGCTCTATGCCAAACTCCCAAGGTAATCCCTATGGTTCCTCTGGGACTTTCAGGTCCCGTGCATAGGACTGTTGAGGCAGAGGCTGGGCAGGTCAATCCGAACTCTATGGATGGGACGGCTCTGGTTAGGGCCAAGTGAACCTAGATCCTCCCTCACAGATGTTTATCCAACCTGTACTTAAAAGCCTCTGCTGAGGGGATTTCACAGCCTCTATTGCAAGTCTATTCCAGAGATTAACTAGTCTTGTCATTAGAAAGTTTTTTCCTGTTAGCTAATCTATATCTCCTTTGCTGCTGATTAAGTCCAGGATTTCTTACATTACCTTAAGTCAGTGGTCCCCCACCTTCTTGGGCTGCTGGGTGCCCGGGGGTGGGGGCCACATGTGCACCGGGTACCCGGGGGCAGCGGCACAAGAATGGCTCGGGCCGGCCCTGGTCACTAGATGGGCTCACATAAATGCCCCGGCGGGTGCCATGGTGAATGTGGAGTACAATTGATCACTGTTTTCTTGTAACCATTTATATATTAGACTTATCAGGGTTCACCACTTCATCTTATTTTTTTCTGGAGCAGGAGTGGGCAATTTTTGATTGGGGGGGGCATCCCAAGATTTTAGAAAGTGGTCAAGGGCTGCTCTCTTATATGATATTAATGGAGGAAATGTGGAGTCTGGGATGGAGATGGAGACAGGTGGTAAGTGGAGTCTGGGATGGAGAAGGAGACTTGAGGTAAGGGATTGGGGTACAGGAGGGTGTGTGGGGTCTGGAACTGAGTTTGAATGAAGGAAGTGGTTGTGACCTAGGGCAGGAAATGGGGGGGTACAGTAGAGGTTGCAGGGGTTTGGGTCCTGACTTAGGGCAGGAGTGGGTTGTGACTTGGGGCAGGTGTTTGGGGTGCAAGGTCTGGAAAAGGGGTATGGCTTCAGGAGGGGAGCAGAGGGTTTGGCTTATGTGGATTAAGGGGCCAGTGGTGGGGGCGGAGAAGGAGGGAGCAGATGGGGTGCCACAGGCAGGAGACTTACCTGGGTGACTCCTAGCCAGCAACCCAGCACATTTCTCAGGCAGGCTCCTTGCCTGCCCCGCCCCCACATAAACTGCAGGGGCCATGTGTATCGGTGAATAGGTGCCTGAGGGGAGGAGGGAATGCTGCTTTGCATGCTGTCTGTTGTTCAAACAGGCAGCTCCCAGTGGCTAGAAACCAACCAATGGGATTATGTTGGGGGAAAGAGCAGCGCAGGAAGCCTCTCCCCCTTGCCCTCAGCTCACATTTGTGAAACTCACATGTCCAGCAGCTGCTTTTCTGAGTGATGGGCTGGGGTGGGGCAGCCAGGGAATCTGCCTGAGGCTCCTAGCTATGTCTATGGGCCAGATCAGGTGACTTGGTGGGCTGGATATGATCTGGGTCATATTCCCCACTGCCCCCGGTTCTAGAGTAAACATGCATGGTTTATTTTAAACCGTTCCTCAGAGGTCAAGTTTTCTAAACCTTTTACATTGGTGTTTTGCTTTCACCTTAACTATCCACATCTTTCTTGAAGTGTGGTGCCCAGAACTGGACACAGTACTCCAGCTGAAGCCTCAATAATACCATATAGAGAGGGACAACTATCTCCTGTGTCTTCTATGTGCAAAACATCTTAGAATATGAGCCCTTTTTGCAACAGCGCTGTACAGTTGGCTGTCATTTAATTTGTGAGCTATTACAACCCTGAAACCCTTTTCAGCTGTACTACTACCTACCCATTTATTTCCCATTTTGCAGTTGTACATTTGTTTTTTTCTTCCTAAGTGCAATACTTTCTACTTGCCTTTATTTAACTTCATTTTAGTGATTTCAAACTAATTTTGCAGTTCGTCAGGGGAATTTTGAATTTTTATCTTAGTACAATCTCCGTTTGCAGATGACCCCACTGGTCTGGGACGCCCTGATCAGGCATCATCTGTGGTTTTGCTGCCAGGACCACAGATGTTGCTGGGTCACACAGCCCCAGTGGCGGGGAGCAGGATCTGACTGAGTCTGGTGACATGTAGTTGGGAGTCTTGCTGGTCACTGGGAGCACAACTAGTCTGAGAATGGATCCCAGTGGTTGAGATTGGTAGCAGGGTCAGAGGCTGGGAAATAAATCTGAGAGCAGGATCTAGCAGCCAGGAGGTGCACTGACCTCCCCTTGTCCAGCAAACTCCCTTATTTGAGACCAATATGGTCCTGAGAGAGCCAGACTACGGAGGTCCAGTTGTATTAGTTGAGAGAGTGGTTTGTTTTAATAGCAAAATAATACTTGCATTGGTTAAATTTTTTAAAATGTATTTAGCATTTTAAGTGTATCATGAATGTGCCTTATGTACTTATTTTGCAGGAGCAGTTGGTCATGGTGGAATTGTCAGGAATTATCGATTCAGACTTTCTAGAAAAATGTGAAAACAAATGCAAGGTTTTGGTGAGTTTGACTACAACATATCAGTAAATATGCAAATTTTTATTTTTGTGAACAATGGAGACCTTTTAGGGCCTCCTTGAACTCGGTTTCTATTAAATATGCAGACTGTGTGGGCAATATAGGCCTCCTTGAACTCGGTTTGTATTAAATATGCAGACTGTGTGGGCAATATATTTCCCATGGTTTGTGCACAGAGCAGTTAGCATCACATTAACATCATATAATGTGAACATATATAAAAAGTTCCCTAAGACCTGTGACTATACTGTTATGGAAAACATAGGATAAAATTTGCAAAAACACCCAAGTGACTTAAAGACCCTACATCAAAGGTGGCTAAGGCTCGTAAGTCTTAGACCCAGACCCATAAAGGATTTAAGTGTTGAACTAACTTTTGAGTAAGGATGTAGGAGTTTAACTCGTTAACCAATAAGCTGAGAATTACCAGTTCTGGTTAATGATGAAACTCCTGCCGAGCCGGGAGGTGCTGAGAGCTTGTGGACCAGCATCCCACTGATCTCATTTAACCATGTAATCAGTTTAATTTTAATTGGTTACATGGTTACTATTTTTTGGAGATTTTACATCCCTATTTTGGATTCTGTTGCCTGATTTTAAGAGATTATTAATTTATATAGTATGGGTTATAGGCTTGCCACTTATTCTTCATAGAAGATAATAAGGTTCTTATCCCAGAATCAGGCTACACAAAATTTGCATGGAGTCTTGAGTGTATAGCAAAGTCAGTCACGCTGAAACAAATGTAGCCTTAAAATTTCTATTGAGAGAAATGACATAGTGAAATAGTAAAATAATCAGTTACAAATGTAATACTATTCAAAAGGTACATATGGTATTAAATAGCTTTAAAGCTTTTGAATATACTCACTCCTGTCCTTGATACATTAAGAACTAACTGACAAAGAACGAAGAAACTTGGAGCTTAGAAATTGAGGAAAAAAAGCTTCGTTGGCATGATGGGTCATCCCTCTGATATGGAATGGGTGCGTTCTTTCCTTGTGGCATACTTGTTAGGTTGACGGACTTTATGAATTTAGGAAGCTCCCAATGCCAACCTGCTTCAATGCATCCTTATGTTAAAGGTCGCAGCCACATCCCTCTGCCTCTGGACTCCCAGCCAGCCCCAGTTGATGCGGTTTTCTGGTCCAGCAACATCTGTGGTCTCGCCAGACCAGAGAGTCCTAGACCAGAGAAGTTGGGCAAATACACTTCCTTGCAATTTCTTGTACAACAACTTGCAAACAAAGCCCATTTTTACTTTAACTTCCTGTGTACTCTCTCTTGGCCCAAAATACTGCCCATTGAGTCCAAATAATTAGCATATGAAGAGCAGCCTATTGCTTTCAGACAACATTTTTCTCTCTAAAGCGGTCTACTCTATTACAAAATTACTATCAAAGGCAAGATTACCTAGTTTTCACTCTTACAGTTGAGTGATTTAATTGATTCTCCTATGTGAGACAAGGGCTAGACAACAGAGCTTGGTATCCTGGAAAAGCTATGCCCAGTCCAAGGAATGTGTCTGCTTTTTTGGAACAATTTCTGAAAAAGCGGAGGCATTCTTTTGCCATCCCTGTTATCCTCATCCTTTGAGGAAGAAGGGATGTGTCAAAAGAGGAAGTTTTTCCAAAATTTGGCCCCATGTAGACGGGCCAAATTTCAGAAAAGCCTCTTTCGAAAGAAAAAGCGGAAAAAGATATGCAAAATGCGTATCTTTTTCCAGCTTTTCTTTGCAGCATAGACCTAGCCAAGGCGTCTTGCTTGTGGAAATGAATGAATGCCCCAGACCCTGATAAGAAAAAGGATGTTTGGCAAAGCTAGAAAGAGATGGAAAATGTCTCTGAACATGTCACTGATGATCAAAATAAATAAGTCAATAAAATTAGTTTTAACTCTCAATTACAATTGACATTGGAGAAACTCAAAAGAAGTTCATACATAATTATGCATCATTCTTGTTCTTCTGAGTACATTTTGTTCTCAGGTCTAACCCAATTTATCTGAGACATGGTACACAAATGACTGACTGGGCTTGTTATTTATATACTGTGTGGCAGGGGTCAGTCTCCCTCCTGAGACCCTGATCACTGTTCTGTCCACTGTCCCACACTTTGAGGGCTGCAGCAGGGCCCTCACCTGCAGAGAGTTTGTCCTTGGGCTTTCCTGGCCCTTAGCATTAAGGATGTTGTATTGGGCTGAAGCCCAGGGCCAGTCACGGCTGACCAGAAAGCCCTCTTCTTGCCCCGAAAGGTGAGGGGTAAGAGAGTCCTCCAACACCCCCTGCTCAACTCCTCATCTCCCCCTGTAGCCTTTAGTAGGTCTGGTGGTTCCTCCTGCTCCTCCACGCTGAGTCTCCTTAACACTGGGTTGTTTTCCTCCTATCCAGGCTCCTTCTCTCGCTCGTCTCCCTCAGGGAGGGTTTTTAAAGAGGCCCTGGGCAACCCCAATCAGCTTCACCTTGCGCTTAGTTGATTTGCAGCCGCCCTTTCTCAGCTGCCCCTAATTAGCCAGGATTGCTGCTGTTTCCTCTGCTAGAGCAGCCTCTCTCCCCTCCCCCAAGTCCTTTAACCCGCTCTGTTACAACTGTTGTATATATTCTATTGTTTTCATTCAAACTCATCTGATGAAGTGGGTCTTCTCCATGAAAGCTTATGATCCTGTATATTTTTGTTAGTCTCTATAATCACTTCCCTGTTGACTGACACACACTCGGGGTGTGTCTAGACTACATGGCTCCGTCGACGGAGCCATGTAAACTAGTTTACTAGACATGGTCAATGAAGCGGGGATTTAAATAATCCTTGCTTCATTAAAATAAAAATGGCCGCCGCGCTGTGCCAACAATCAGCTGATCCGGCACAGCGCGGCAGTCTAGACGCGGCGCGGTCGACAAGGGAAGCCTTTGTCAACCACTCCTGTAAGTCTCGTTTCCATTTCACAAGGCTTACAGGAGCGGTTGACAAAGGCTTCCCTTGTCGACCGCGCCGCGTCTAGACTGCCGCGCTGTGCCGGATCAGCTGATTGTTGGCACAGCGCGGCGGCCATTTTTATTTTAATGAAGCAGGATTATTTAAATCCCTGCTTCATTGACTGTTGAGTAAACTACTTTACATGGCTCCGTCAACGGAGCCATGTAGTCTAGACACACCCTCACAGAAATGGGAGGGGAAAAAACACTTAAAAATAAGGAGAAAGTGATTGTAAAACCACAGTAACTTGTAGAAGGAAACAGAAGCCAGACTAATTCTGGAAACCAATTTTAATACCTTTTTAGAAATGTACTTGATGTTCAGTTGATAGCGTTACTTTATTTTCAGAGATCTGCTGTTTGCATATAAATAATAGCCACCCATTGTTGCCAGTGGACTGGTGATGTGCATGTTGCTCTTTAGGTGTTATGATCTCATACATCCGTTCTTTTTCCCTCCTGAACACCTTTCTCATTTGCTTACCTAATTGTTCAAGATGCATTGTATATCTGTTTCATCTAAATCTTGCAGTTTAGAAAACTTTTGAGTTCATACACAAAGGAAACTATTTTTAGTTTGTCCATTTTCTCTCCATAGTCTGTGTCATAGAATAGGTGTGCATTTCATATTGCTTTTTGTCTTGTACTGCATATACTCTTTTTCGCATACCAGTTGTTCTCTATTCTTGCCTTGACTAACTGAAGCATGACTTCAATGTAATTTCTGTTTGTCCTTGTCCATAGGGAATAGACACAGAGAGGCCCATTTTGCAAGTGGACAGATATGTCTTTGCTGGGGAGTATGAAGGTAGGAGGCAATCATATGGATGAAACGTCTCATTTTCAGTGTGACATAAAGGCCCCAATCATGAGAATAGTAATAGAAATGTAGCCATCTTAGTCTGGTCTAGCTGAAACAAAAAACCTGACTGTGTAGCACTTTAAAGACTAACAAGATGGTTTATTAGGAAGTTTTTCCAAAATTTGGCCCCATGTAGACGGGCCAAATTTCAGAAAAGGAGGAGGATCGGGGGGGGGAGGGGTAAAGGTCTGTGAGTTAATGATATTAGAGGTAATAATTGGGGAAGCTATCTTTGTAATGGGTAAGATAATTAGCATCCTTGTTGAGACCTAGGTGTAAAGTGTAAATTTAAGCACCAATGACAGTTCAGAGGATTCTCTTTCAAGTCTGGTGTTAAAATGTCTTTGAAGCAGGATGCAGGCAGTTAAGTCCTTGAGACAATGCCCTTTCTGGTTGAAATGGCAAGAAACTGTTTTTTCTTTGGGATCCTGTCTAATATTTGTTTTGTGTGCATTGATTCTTTGGCAAAGTGTCTGAGACGTTTGTCCAATATTTGTCCAGAAATATAATTTATGCTATCATGTGCCGACAGTGTCCATCTGCTGTGTACATCTGCTATGTACATTGGACAAACGTCGCAAACACTTTGCCAAAGAATCAATGCACACAAAACAGATATTAGATGGGATCACAAAGAAAAAACAGTTTCTTGCCATTTCAACCAGAAAGGGGCATTGTCTCAAGGACTTAACTGCCTGCATCCTGCTTCAAAGACATTTTAACACCAGACTTGAAAGAGAATCCTCTGAACTGTCATTGGTGCTTAAATTTACACTTTACACCTAGGTCTCAACAAGGATGCTAATTATCTTACCCATTACAAAGATAGCTTCCCCAATTATCACCTCTAATATCATTAGTTCACAGACCTTTACCTCCCCCCCCTTGATCCCCCTTCTTTTCTGAAATTTGATTTGTCCTTTTCATTTGTGTTCATTGTTTTGATTGTATCCTTTGGTATATATGGTCATGCCAATTTTCTTCCACTATTTGATCTGAGGAAGTGGGTCTGGCCCATGAAAGCTCATCACCTAATAAACCATCTTGTTAGTCTTTAAAGTGCTACATAGTCCTGTTTTTTGTTCCAATCATGGGAGATGCTGATCATCCTCAACTTCCACTGACTTCAGTGGAGGTGGAGAGCACTCTGCTTTTTGAAGTACTGGGACGTTGGCAAATAATCTGTGTTATTTCTCAGCTGAGTCTCCTTTCTTCTCTATATATAGATACTCTTGGAACCTTTGTGGTGTTTGAAGAAAATGCAGAGCCTGGTAAGTGATACATCCTTGTATGTCCTGACTTGTAGCTGAGCTACAGCTGTAAAGTTCAGATAATTTTCATGTTTCAGATGATAGGGATGTTCACTAAAATTACACACTTTTTTTTTCTTTATTGTAGATGCAGAAGGAAACCAAAAACTACAGCTGAAATACAAGTGCCATACAATGAAGAAGCTGAACATGACACGGACACTTCTGTCTGAAAAGAAGGAAGGAGAAGAGAACATAGGTTAGTGCACTTGGTCTTGTATGTTGGGACATGTGAAATCATGCTAGGACTACACCTTATCTTTGATACCAGGCTGGCAACAGAAATTAGTTTACACCCTTGTGCCAGTAAGCATCCAGGGAATTAAAAGGTACAAACTTTCATTCTTAAACAACAAATTAATTTACCTGAAAATATTCATAGCTATTTTTAAAGCTTCCTGTGATTTTTGGCATGAATTAAGTTCTCCTGCACTTGCTTCAGTGGAATTGTATCATTTCATGACAGGGTTAAATATTGCCATTTATCTCTAGGACTGAAGTCAATGCTGATTCTATATTTGGATGTTTATAGTAATACTGCTCTTACTAATATTTTATTCCTGCCTTTTTGCTCATATGCAGGGTTAGGAATAAAGAGCCATTTTAGGCTAAATTTATACATTTTCATTTTAAGATTACACCTTATGGTATTAAATAGTTATCTTGTGAACAATCTAGTCATGAAGATATGACCACAGATGAGATGACTTTTACCCAAAAGATGTAAAATCTCTCCCAACCTAATATTGCATATTGATTAAGAAATCATTCATTTTAAAAATTAGTGTAATATGGTAGCAGGTAGATTGCTTCATTAAAACAACTCCACTATAGGAAATTCTAATTGGACTCAAGCTTCCTTATAAGCAAGTCAGCACTTGTGCATGACAAACACTCAATACTTACACATATCAGTAGCCATATTTTAATTATTGTATATTGAGAATGTGTAACTTTTGAAGAGCCTACTTACATGAGGGAAGAAATAGCAGTCACATCAGTAATCTGTATTTGTAGTACTTTTAATAAAGTGGTCTATGGACTTGCTGTACCACTTTTCATTAGTATTCATTCTTACACCTTTACAGGTGCCATGTTCCATCAAGTTATTTGACTTTCTAAACTTAATTTTACATGGTAGTCTACATTCTGCATCATTAAAATATATTCTCAGGATCTTGAATCATGTGGAAACTGTTTTGGAATTTGCTTAGATGCTGTGTGGCACCTAGATAAAATAGTGTTAGCACAGTACAAAATAAATACTGAAGAATGGTTAATTAATATCTATGTGAATCACTGTTTTGCTGGTATTATAAGTAATTGGAATACCAACCTTTCAATGAAAAGAATTCCATCATCGCCACATTTATAATGCAAGTGGGATTTTCAGTTGTTGTATAAATGTGCTGATTCCATTATAAATAGGAATTGGAAAAGGATTATCTTTTTAAATAATAGCTTTTAATTAACACAGGCACACTTAGATTTAATTAAATAAGACAGTCCTAACTTTCAGGACATCTTCAACAACCATCAAAACTAGTGGTTCAATTCCTGAATGTATAGTGGGACGCAGCCCAGAGATACAACTCTAAATTCTTGAAAGTTGTCATTTTCTTCCCCATTGTTCTTTTGGATTAGGCAAAGAAATGTTCACCTGTACCATTTATTTTTATGTATCACTGCTGTGAAAGAATGGAAAGCTGTTAGATGAACAAACAGAACCAGCATATGAGAAACACAAATCTCAAAGGCCAGTAAATCAACAGAAGGCATCCCTGCTTAGGGGAGAAGGCATCCCTGCTAAGGGGAGAGCAATAGGTACCATAAAAAATTTTATATTACCAAATTTTAGCAGGTGGTGTAATAGTTATGTGTTACACAGCACATGGGAGACGATATCGCAAATCTTGGTAGCTTTCCAGATTGAAAAATACTCAGCAGTAGTAGCTTTTATGTTGGAGGTAGACAGGTTTTGAGTCATCTCTCAGAGGAAATACTGTCTGATTTGAAGAAGCAATAGAGCTAAGGGCGTGTTAGGGACATTGCCCAGCTAGAAGGACAAAAGTTCTTATATATGGTTCTCAAGTGCAAAGCAAATGAAAATGGCTGATTAGAAAACATCTATCTGATGGGGATTTTGAAAATCCTCCCTCCCTCAGTTCTAAGAAAAAATGTTATATTGGAGACAAACTCCAGTATGAGTAAGTAAGCAAGCAAATAAATTTACCTCTTGAAGCAATATAGTATAAAAGACAGTGAAACTTAAGCTGCTGTTTTTCATAACTAAGCATTTTTCTCAGTTCAGTATACGAGGATCATGGTGAAAACTGGTCTGTTTTAAACAGCAGAAGGAAACAAGGACATCTGAAGGGGATTTTACTGTCTCTAGTTTTGAAAATGGGTCCTAAGAAGTTTGCTTTCTTTCCCTCCTCAGGTCTTTTTGTAGCAGAAGCTTATGGCACACTTCTCATATGTAATATTGGTGGTTGCTTCAAACAACATTACCTTTGTTTTCATATTTCTAATTATTGTTTGAAATTAAAAGAATCAACTTGTGAAAATAAAAAAAATGCCTTGCTGTAAAATTTTTCCTCCTCTTGTTTCTTTTTTCTGACCAGGTGGTGTGGAGTGGTTACAGATCAAAGACAAAGATTTCTCATACAACAGACCTAATATGATTTGTAATTTTCTGCATCAAAAAGAAGATTCTGAGGAGACAGCACAGGCCCAGGACAAACTGGCAGATGAGTCAGAGGGAGAGGTCAGTGACAAAGGGAACTCTGACCTGAGTTATGAACTGGAGAAACAGCATATCATGGACATGGATGACTCTGTCTCTCTCCTTGGTAGCCCTGTCTCTGAAGCAGAGAACTCTCCTTCAGGAATTGCCCAGGACATTACCTTAGATGATGCTCCTAGTTGATATCATGTCTGCATCATCAAGAAGTGATGATTAATGGAATTAGTTAATACCATGAACCATATTTTAAAAGTCCCCTCAACCTGATTTCCACTTTATCTGAGTAATTAATAGTGAGTGCAAAACAGCACCCACAAATTTGGAAGCCATTTTTAGGTCTTGAATGTGATGATTTTAGTCTCCACCTCTGTTAAATATGCATGCCTCTCCAGCATCTGGCCTCTTGAGTTGAAGAACAGAAATAAATGACTAAATGAGAAGGAGACACCACAAGAAAAACTGATACATTGCACATCCATAATTATTAGTAAAATATTTTCTTTAAGATATCTGTTGCAAAATAAAGTCATGACATTTTCTGTTATGATTTCAGCTTGGAAATTCATGTCCTTGCCCCTGTGCATGTTCCTTTCAGGTAAAGCTATACAAGTGACCTTTTGATAAGATTCGTTGGCACCCTACAAAACACATCTGATTTGTGTTTGGTAGCCTCTTTCTTTCCTCCTCCAATTCCATATGGACCCCAATAGGAGACCACTTCTGGTCAGAATGTTTTAATCAGCAGTTAGTTTGCAGAGTGATCTAGGAGTGTTTTTTCAACAAATGGCAGAATGCATTTTTGGTTTTTTTGTAACATCTCACTGAGTTGAATAGAATCTCACCCCTTTTTTGTCCATTTTGCACCAGTGATTCATTGATATACAGGCAGTCCCTGATTTACGCGGATCCGCACTTACGAAAGGGGCTCTCTCGCCCTGGACCTTGCAGACAGCGGGACCGCCCAGAGCGCAGTGGTCCCGCCACCTCGACCTCCAGGGCGAGAAAAGCTGCTCCGGGTGCCCCTAGTCTGCTGGGGACCGTCTCCAGCAGACCAGGGACACCTGAAGCAAAGCTGGGGAGGCGTGGCACCCCGCCGCCGCTGCAGCTTTGCTCCCTGTGTCCCTGGTCTGCTGGGAGGGTGGGGCGCAGCTAGTATGTAAGTCGGAACTGTATGTAATTTGTATGTAAGTCGGAACTGGCTGAGATTAAGCAGCTGTTGAAACTGATCAGTGGCTGATTTCAGGAAGCTGGGGGCAGAGCAATTCTGCCTCCAGCTTTCTGTAGTCAGCCCCTGGTCAGTTTCAGCAGCAGCGGCTGAATCTGGAGCCAGTTCCGACTTACATACAAATTCAACTTAAGAACAAACCTATAGTCCCTATCTTGTACGTAACCGGGGGAGTGCCTGTACACTGAACTTTGTATATGGTACTGCTAAAGGGACACTAATCAGCTTCAAAACTTCTAAGTTGAAAATTAAAAATGGCACAACTTTAACCATATTCTGAATATTTTTAAATATTTTAAAAGCACTTTCAGGATTTTTTTTTTTTTTTTTGCTCCCCTATTTGATTAACTGTTATCAGTTTCTTTCTTACTGTTTGAAGGCAACTGAATTTAATAGTACGTTTTGTACAGCAGTGGTACAACCTATTTTATACTGCGGACTGGAAAACTCATTCAAAAACTTTTGGTTGACCAGTATAGAAACATTTTAGTTGCATATTTGAATATTCACTGTGGTAATTAATTTTAAGAGGTCACGTGTTGTCTTACAATGCATCTGTACGCACAAAATACATGTTGTTAACACTTTTTTATGATTATTTCCCCCCAAAATCATACACAACACATCGCTAGCTACCCAAAGTATTTTATTGCCTCCACTGTTAAAAATCATACATAAGATACCACTACTTAGTCTAGCTAAATAAAATGAAAATGTACGACTTACTGATGAGATCACATCAGTGGGATTGTTGGGCTTATTCGCCCAACACAAGCAAGTCATATGAGGCATCATGTTTGACAGCGAGACTTGCAGTGTGTTTCTCATGTCAAGCCTATTGCAATGTCTGTTCTTGGTGGTAGTCAGTGAACAGAAACCTGTTTCATAAAGTTATGTAGACGGAAATGGCTGTAAGATCTTGAAAGCTAGGGTGCTAAGTTCAGGATAGTCACCTTTTGTTTTAATCCAGAGGGATGATGGAGACGAGGATACGTTAAACAAAGTTTTAAGTCCTCCATCACATGCCAGTTCAGTCAACTGATCCTCTTGCAGCAGTGGCAGGACTCCTTGTTGGCAGGAAGAAATGGATCGCGAGTCCATTCTTTCCTGGCTCTTGGATCTTTTGAATTTGGGAAATATTGTTGAAATGCACCCAAGAGTGACTTCCGGTGCTCACTTATTAACTTGAAAAGTCCAATACCTTCTCCTGAAAAAAACTCACAAAAATATTAAACATATCAAAAATTCCCCTATCCACATGTTTCCCCCAGGTTTCCATCTTGGTTTTGAAGGCTGTGATTTTATCTGCCATTTTAAAAATGGATGCCATTATCCCTTGCAGCGAGAGTGTGCAGTGAATATGTTGCTCAAATACGCAAGTTTAGCAAGCCAGATCTTGTCATTAAAATATGCAGTCAATAGTGACTTTTTATCTGTGAGAAACCTCTGCAGCTGTTTTCTTAACTTAGGGTATGTCTAAACTACATGCCTCTGTCGGCAGAGGCATGTAGATTTGTTTGTTCAGCAAAGGCAAATGAAGCTGTGATTTAAATGATCGCAGCTTCATTTACATGGCTGCCGCGCTGAGCTGACAAACAGCTGATCAGCTGTTTGTCGGCTCGTGCGCTAGTCTGGACGTTCCCCCTGTCGACATCAAAGCCCTTTGTCGGCAGCCCCGTTATTCCTCGTGGAATGAGGTTTACCAGGGCTGCTGACAAAGGGCTTTGATGTCGACAGGGGGAACGTCCAGACTAGCGCACGAGCCGACAAACAGCTGATCAGCTGTTTGTCGGCTCAGCGCGGCAGCCATGTAAATGTAAATGAAGCTGCGAGGCTCAGCGCGGCAGCCATGTAAATGTAAATGAAGCCGCAATCATTTAAATCGTGGCTTCATTTGCCTTTGCTGATCTGTCTAATCTACATGCCTCTGCCGACAGAGGCATGTAGTCTAGACCCAGCCTTAGACTCTGGTCAGGGCTTTCCCCCTTAACAGCCAAAGAACTTCTGTATGTGGGAGAAGTTGCTTATGTTCGGCATCCATATCCTTGCACAGCGATTCAAATAAATATGAATTTAGTGGATGCATTTTGATATAATTAACTATACAAATCATGTCATTCAGAACATCAAGAAGTTCAGGACAAAGTTTTCATCTTGCCAACATTTTTTGATGAGTGACAGAGTGGGTAGACTTACATTCAGGCGCCACTTGTTACCCTGGTCATGAAACCAGAAAGCCTTCCAGTCATTGCAGCAGAGCCATTTGTATGAACCCTAACACAATAAGTCCCGTTAAGCCTGCCTGAAGTATAACTGTCCAAAATGCTGAAGATTTCTGCCAGTGTTGTGTTGATAGGCAGGGGAAGCACCTGCAGTAAATCCTCAGGCACATCATCTTCAAAACATAGCGCACACACACTAACAGCATTGCCTTGTTTTCAATATCTGTTCATTCCTCCACTTGAATTGAAAACCATGTAGATCCATTTATCCTCTCCAGCAACTGCTCCTCCATTTCCTCAGCTATTTTGTCAATCCTCTTGACAAGAGTTGTCGGAAAGAGGAACTTTCCTACTTTGCAAGCTGCCATTTCCCCAAACAGCTCATGGCAGATATCTTTTGCAGCATGAAGAATCAGGTTTTTGCCAATAGTAAAAGGCTTTTTGGCTTTGGCAATTCAGTGAGCTACTAGAAATGATGCCTTCAAAGCAGCCACGTTTGAGGGCACACGTGGTATCACAAAATAATTGTTTTTGCCTTCAAATTTGCTTTTTTTTCTGTTAAAAAAAATCAACCGGTTTTTCTTTGAGAGCAGGATGTTTAGACTCGAAGTGCCAAATTATCTTTGAAGGCTTCATTGTTTTGTTGGACAGCATTTTGGCACATATAAACACATGGTGCTTTTGGATCCTGTGAATCACCACACGCAATAAAACCATACTTTAAATACAAGGAGTCGTACTTGCAATTGAACATTACTCTTTTTTGTTTTTTCACATTTTCTTGGCATTGTATATCCTGATTGTACGTAGAGTCTACAATATTCTCTTTATCATTTGAAAAGTCATTGTCTTTTTTTGCAGAAACACTCTCTCCAAAAAAGGAATCCATGGAAGTTTGCTTGATCATCTTTTAGCCATTGTATTTGACAGAAGTGACTAGACACAGTTACCAGTATTGGCAGCTGGGAACCAAAGCCATATTTCTCCACTTTCCCCCACTGGTGAATGTGGTCAAGGCATGCCAGACCCTTGATAGTCCCTTGATCCTTTGGGTGGTCTTGGTCTCTTGTCCTGCCTGCCTGTTTGGGGAGCACATGGTCTCTCAAATTCTCCCCCCCCCCTGTGCACTTCCAGCGTGTCAGTAAGACTCACCAGCCATCTATTCATATCCATTTGTTCTTGTCGACATTGGTCTAGTTTTCCTTTAATGCATGTGGCCACACAGGAGGCCACCAAGGGCCCACAAGTGTGCATGCTGCACTCAAGGGTGTGGGGTGAGATGGCAAGTGGTGATTTGGAAGCTTGGGGTGATGACTCCTCCAGCTCTGAGGGTTTGGTACAGCAAGAGAGGTGACACCACTGCTGTTGCTGGGAAGACGTGTTGATACTGCTGAGGAGAAGCACACAGCTTGAGCTCCAGAACTGCTACAGCCAGAGAGGCACCTCTCCTGTGGCCCCAACCTCAGTGCTGCTGCAGCAGGAAGAGACACTTTCCCCAGTCCAGGTGCTGATGCAAGGAGAGAGGGGTGAGGAAAATTCTTTCTCCTCACCACAGCTCTGGAGCAGCCAACACCACAGACCTCTCATCCTGGCTCTCCCCCAGAGCCTGCACCTCCAGCCAGAACCTTCGCATTCAACCTTCTGTCTGAGTCCTGAGCCTTCTCCCACATGCTGAATCTCTTGGCCCCTACCCTCCTACACATGTTATCTCCATATTAGTGCACATAAAAAATGTATTATGCCCATGGACTGGGGAAAATAGAGGGAAAATTGACATTGGCACTTAAATAATTATTTTATGAGTCCTGGGCTATGTCTACACTGGAGGCTTCTTGCACAAGCACATCTTGCGCAAGGGTTCTTCTGTAAGAACTCCTGCACAAGAAAACGTCCACACTGCCGTGTGTAAGATGTGCTTTTGCACAAGAGCACCCATGGCAGTGTGGATGCTTTCTTGCACAAGAAAGCTCTGATGGCCATTTTAGCCATAAGGCTTCCTTGCGCAATAATCCCTGCAGAGTGTCAACACTGCCCTCTTGCACAAGAGCTCCTGTGCAAGAGGGCTTACACCTGATAAAAAAGAGCATAGCACTTGTGCAAGATGCCCTCTCTTACCACACCATACTGTAAATTTCCTTGCGCAAGAGCAGGCGGGCAGTGTGGATGCTCTGCAGAGTGTAGACATAGCCATGGAGTGCTCTTCTCCTCTGAGTGATGGGACTGGGAGTGGGGGAGCACAGTGGGATGGGGATGGGTCATTTCCACTTCTTGCTTGCCACAGTGATTTTGGGAGGTGGGGGGGCTGAGCCTTGCTGCTTCCTGCTAATCCCCCAGGTTGTGTTGGTCAGGGGAAGGGGCTTGAGAAAAAGGGTGCAATGGGTGTGGGAGAGGGTGGAGCAGGGGTGGGCACTGGCGAAGGGAAGGGTACAGCCATGGGGTCTTACACAAGGTGGTGAGACAATGTCTTGTATTGGATCAAACCTGTTGGTGAAAGAGACAAGTGTTTGCGCTATGCCCCCATGAGGATGAGCTCTATGTAGCTCAGAGACCTTTTACCACCACAAGTTGTTCTAATTAGGGATGTTAGATAACATTTATTTTAGTAATTGTGTAGCTGCAAAAACTGTATTGGTTACACTGTTACTAAAATACTACTCGGGGACAGGGATAGCAGCCAGTGCACTCCAGACCCCACTCCTGGGGAGCCCCCTACTGCCCAGCACTGTTGCCTCTATATCAGAGGCAGCAGCATGGGGTGGCAGCAGCTTGTCCATGGGGAACTCAAGTTCTAGAGTTGTCAGGTATTGACCCGGACAGTGCGGTATTTTCGCCTCCTGTCTGGTAAAAAAATTCAGAAAATACCAGACACCTAAAATGTCCAGTATTTTTTAGTTTTTTCCCCCTGCCAGGAGGCAAAAATATCAGACACCTGGCAACCCCACAACACACTCAGCAACTGGGTCCAGCCCCCGGCCCCCTGCTTACCTGGTTCTGCAGGGAAGCTGCTTTCTGGCTTGACCAAGAAAACAAGATGGCCACCAGCTAAAAGCCTAAAGACCTGCGCAAGGGCCTTCCCTGGGTCTTAAAGCTCAACCGCGCCCCTCTTCCTATCCCTAGTCTGACTCTGCACGCACTTAAAGGGGCCATGCTGTTTTAATGCTGTTTTATTTTATGTGTTTATTTGCTTAATAACTCTTGGGGTCCCCCCCTTTTTTTCCCTGAACATAATTTTTTCCCCAGTGTTTTGGTTTTTTTGGGGGTGGGGTGTTTTTTGGTTAAACCATCTACCAAGTCCCCCCTGGACAGCTCTGCCCCCGCCCCACTGCTGCCTCTGCTACAGGGGCGGGGGCGGGCAGGTCGGTGGCTCCGTGAG